CCCGAAAGGCACCGCAAAGACCTGCCTGCCGGGCCCGCCGGGACGCCAGTGCGGTGCCCAAGGACTCTACGCCGGCCGCCCAGCGCGCCTAGCCGGCCGGGAAAAGCCATGACTTGCAACAACAGGGAGATCCTCATCCCGATGAGTCCGACGCGTGGCCGCTGATTTCTTTCTGCAGATGACACCGATACCCAGAAACGGTCCGGCCCGCCGCCAAGCCGCCGCCAAGGCGCGCCTCGGGCCCCTCGGCGAGAGAAACAGAGATACCCGTCGCCTCGATGAATGGGGAATGGGACGGGACCGGTACTACTCTCTTGGATCCTCTCTTGTTCTCCTCCTCCAAGAGGGTCCTCCTCCTCCTTATTTTACACACGTTTCCTCGTTTCGCTTTCGTGCGGCGTCTCTTTTTTCTCTCTGTCTGTTACAGTGATCGCACTGGCCATCGGCCAATGATCGCGTCCTGCGGCGGCCAGCTCGGTCCCCTTCCTTTTTCTTTTCGTTTTGTTTGTTTCTTGGCGATCGGTTATTTATTTGTATTGTATTTCCACGATGAGGACGTTTGCGGTATAGTTTGTAAAATGGGACCGCTCCAGTCGGCTGGCGCCTCACGTGTCCATTCACGAAAGACTTTTTTCCTTTGGTCATCACCAATCTTTTGATATGTGTTCATTCGATGTAAAATTTGAGTCGCTCTCGCAGTACAATGTCTCGCCTAGTTCTATTCTCAGGCGGTGGCGCGTGCATACCGGCGTTACAGGCCCTGCTGAGGTTAGGTTAGGTCAGGTTAGTGCTCTAGTGTGCCCGGCGGGTGTGATAAATTGACCGTCACCTTGAAGTGAAATGTGGCCCCCGGACACGGACACGGAGAGAGTGAAGGGGCCGTGGAACTAGCCCACAACCTGCTGAGAAGCGCCCAAATCCGTAGCCGCTTGAATTCTAATGAGCATTACTTTTTCGAAATGAGCGTGGGAAGCTCATTTTCGCCCACACAATGGTCCACTCGCATGGGGCACTCTACTACTGCCACCACTGTAAACTGAGTTCTCGTCCGTTTTAGAGCAATTTGTGCCGTACCATCCATGATTTTGGATAGTTTTAAGTCTTTTGTCGTGAGTGAACCGTGGCAACACTTTTTTCGTGCCTGTTCCCGGACGATGAAGTTTCATTCCATCCTCTTTGTTCATGACGGTTGAGCGGTTTGCCAGCGTCCAGAGCACCATCACCATCGCCACGCCAGCCAGGATGACCGTGAACCAACGAGAAAGCTCTCTTTTGGCGGGAAATCCGAAATTGGAGCCTGTGATTGGTCGGGACGGGGAGCAGCGCCGGGAGCGGTGGTAGAGTGTGTAATGCCGGAGTCACGACTCGGCGGTGTCGCCCGCCAGCAGGCTGCTTCCGTCTCTCTCGCACTCACGGGGCGTTGGGCGTGCGTTTGGCGTGGCGTGCGAGCGAGACAGGGAGGCGGACGCGCGACGAGTGCTAAGGAGCCCCATTACCAATGACTCAATGCCGAAAGGGAAAGCGGATGACGGGGCGCTCCGTTTCGGACCTCGGCCTTCGGGCACCTTCGGGCGCCTTCGGGCACCTTCGGGCGCCTTCGGGCACCTTCGGGCGCCTTCGGGCACCTTCGGGCGCCTTCGGGCACCTTCGGGCGCCTTCGGGCACCTTCGGGCGCCTTCGGGCACCTTCGGGCGCCTTCGGGCGGCTAGCGCCTGGCCAGCGCCCAAGGCCAATGCCGTGCCTTCATTTCCGATGCCTCACTCGTCCGTCGCCCTGCTCCTCGTGGATCGCTCAGCCCCATTGTCCGCGGTGCGACCGTATTACAGAGTTTGTAACTTTGTAGTCCGGCGTGCTGCGCTTGCTGCCTGCTGCTGTGACTTCCATCCTCCCTCACACACCAGGCTCGGCTCCAAGCTCCCTTGCTCTCCTCTGCAGCGCCTAGCCCACACTTTTGATTCAGGCATGTTATTTAGTAGCTAAAATTTTGCAAAATTTTTATCCTGACAAAAGTTGTTTCCTGAAGACTGCGTCAATGTTCTTGTCGAGGCAGATGCCTCTCGTGAACTCCAGTTCTGCAGGGTTTTTGAAGTCCTGCTTGCTTGAGGTGGCAGCGAAGCCTTGCGGCATTCGACCTCACCACGTCGGCTCGCCTCACGCAGCCCTCTGCTCACACTGCTAGATTTTCCATACCTTGTTCCGTGAAGCGAGCCCCCTGCCTCCCGGTGGGCGGCGGGAAGCGCGCCACGGCGGCACCGCTCTGTGTGGAACCTGCTGACACCGAGACGACGACGGTGTCCCGTGTCCCCTTCTTCCGGGCGAAAAGCTTTGTTTCTTTTGGCCCCGCCTGGCCCCGCCTCGCAACGCCACGGCACTGCATCCCAAGCAGTACCGTACAGCGAGCCAAGCACCACTCCCCAGCAAGAGGACAATCTCACATCAGGCGCTTGGTCTTCTGGCATTGATTTTCGTCTGGTCTTTAATCTACCCTTATCTTTCCCAACCATTCTGATGGATATTTTGTTCCGATGGGAAATTCTCGTATTTGGAAGCTGGCCTTCGTTCATCTTTTTTGCTAGGACCAGACCTACTTGTTCTTGGTGTGATCTGGTTAGGTTGTCACTATTGTGTGTAAGTGCTGTTATTGTTGCGTGGAAGTGTCTGTTGTCTGTTGTGTGTAAGTGTGTAAGTTTTGTTGTTGTGTGTCAGTGTGTAAGTTTTGTTGTTGTGTGTAAGTGTGTGAGTTTTGTTGTTGTGTGTAAGTGTGTGAGTTTTGTTGTTGTGTGTAGGCGTTGTTGCGGGTTGCTGCTGTGTGTTGTTGATGAGAGCAAGCGGCACTGGGCCACCGTTCACGTAGTGGGCAGTGTCTGTGGTGAGTCCAACGGTCGTGCGGTGGGCGCGCGGTCGCCTCGGAAGGACATTCATTTCATACATCGTTGTAGAGGCTTCGTCTGTGGTGGCGCACCGCCCAGCGACCGCCCAGCCACCGCCCAGTGGCCGCCTACGGGGGCGGCGGCTAAGCGCTTCTTTCACCTCTTGCTTTGAAAAAGAGTATAGAGAATAAAATGAAATGAATTCATGTAAGGCACCTTTTTTCGAGTTCGAGGCCAGTCTCTCTCTCTCTCTCTCTCTCTCTCTCTCTCTCTCTCTCTCTCTCTCTCTCTCTCTCTCTCTCTCTCTCTCTCTCCCCCCGTCGGTTTGTAGGCCAGGCGAGGTGTTTGCGTCCGGTGCGGTCCTTTCCCTGAATCGGCCCGAGAGGCCCCGAGGACGCGAAGAAGGCGTGGTGCAAGGCGTGGTGCGCGCGGCGTGGCGGTGACGAGTTTGTTTAACGGATTGTACCCGAGTACCACATCGCTAACCCGGTCTCGGCTCGCTTTCCACGTGGATGGAAGCACGTATAAGGCGTGCGTGTGTGTGTGTGTGTGTGTGTGTGTGTGCGCGCGCACGCGCGTTTGAATACCGCGTGTGTTTGTCTCCAGCTGGACGTAGACGCCGTGCTGGAAAGAGGCGGGGACATGTTTGTATCCACTCAGTCTTCGCGCGCGCACACACACTGGAAAACAGCTGTTTTCTGCTAGTAGCAAAATATTGGGAAAATGTCACTTTCCTAAAAGAGTGAACCCGGCAAAACGGGGGTTCTCGACGCCCCGGCGCGTCCGCTGGTCCGCGACGACGGCGCGATCGGCCGATTCGGCGTCTTTCGGCGCACGGCAAGGCCATCGCCCGCATGCTCGGCAAGGCCCGGCAAAGCCCGGCCGGCCGGCAGAGGGAGAGAGAAAGTCGCGTGAGGCATGGACGGACGGCGCGAGCGAGTCAACGGCCCCAAAATGTGCGAAAAAAAATGAAAATAAGCGGGGCGGGCTGGGAGTCCTTGACTGCTGCCAGACGGGTGGACGCTCGCTGTCCCATCTCCTGCTTCACTCTGTAACGTTGGCAACGCATGGCACAGAGTGACGAACCCTCACCACGTAATTTTGAGCTTCACGTGGCAACACCATTTTATTTTGCCGTTCGAGGAATCGCGTCGGAGAGCAATTCTTGCACGTTATATTCGTAAAGACGCGCCATTTTGGAGAGCCGCTTGGCGCGCTGCTTCGCTGCTTCGCGGACCGCCCCGAGGAAGGGTGCGTTGGCGGAGGGAAGACCGCCGCGGCGCGCCAACAGGGAAGTCCCTTTTGCGTAACTTTGGCCCTGCCGGCCCGCGCCGGCCCGCGCCCCGGACGTCGACCAAGACACAATGACCCCTCGCGGCTGTTACGCGCGCCGCGCTGCGGGCAGAAAATTAAAGCGGACGCGGAGCATGGCGATAAAAAGGAGGACGAGCACAACAACGAAAAGGAAGGAATTAGTATACGGCATTGCCGCGCTGAAAGCGTGATGCAACCAGTGATAATGAGGGAGAGAGAGAGAGAGAAGGGGCGGTGCAAGGGAAAAGGGGGGGGGGGAGGCGAGCAGGTGGATGAGTGGCTGGGCGCCCGGCCGCCGGCGCAGAGCCCCCACCCTTCCACCTTTCACTCCCCCCCCCTCCCCGCTTACAATGTCAAGGTGGTCCGGGGGTCCCTGGCTACGCCGCGCCACGCCACGCAACGGCCGAGACCGGATGGCACGGCGCCGCGCCGCAGACGCTGCAGTCCTAGTGACCGCCGCGAGCCGCGCCGACCGCAACACCGATTCGAACGACCGCACCGCCGCGTTTAGCATACTCTCTCTCTCTCTCTCTCTCTCTCTCTCTCTCTCTCTCTCTCTCTCTCTCTCTCTCTCTCTCTCTCTCTCTCTCTCTCTCTCTCTCTCTCAGTGTCTAAGTTTATAGTTGGGTGTGTAAAATAGACGCTGCTAATTCGTTTGTCGCTATTTTCACAAGACTTTAATTAAGCACTGGAAACTTCTCACGATTTTCTACGAATGCCTCACATGTGTGCTTTTGCAAGAAAAGCTGTTAGGTTCCGCACTACTATGTCGTGCAAATGCATTCACAGTGTGCTGACGTGCTTCTCGTTCCGCAGGCCACCGCCACCATGAGGAGGACGCGGCTCTTCTTCATCTCGGCCGCGTTCCTCGCCGTCCTCAACCTCCAGGTGAGTCGTCGTTTTCGTCGCCCTGTCTCCCTCGCACCTGTAAGGCACGCCCCATGAGTGCGAGAGAGACAGATGGCGACGAGAGTCCTCTCAGTCTACAGTGTGCAGGACTCTGGGGTGCTGGACGCGCGCCGCCGCCGGCCGGACGGGATGCCTCCACGTGCTCTGTTTACAGTGCTCTTTCTTGTTTGCGTATTCTCCTTTTGTTGTTCTCCTTTCCCCTCTCTGTCTCCCCCATTATGTCCGCCGTGCCTCTCCCTTTCGTTCGTTCCTCCGTTTTGGAGCTTGACGGTGAAAGGAGCCACCGTGACTGTGCGCCCCGCCCCGCCCCGCCTTTGGGCCCCGCCCGGCGCGCCGCCCGGCAGCTCCTCTCTTCCTGCCCTGCGACCTTCAAGGCTGCCGTAACCCACGCCACCTGCGGCCCTGCGGCCGGGCGGTGCCGCGGTGCCGGCCGAACCATTTCTTCTCGAATGGACCGACTCGGCCGTAAATCGACGGAAAGGAGCTGAATTGGAAAGGCGCTTCCCCGCGGCCCAGGCGGCCCGGCCACCCCGCCGACACGTCCAGCTCGCACCTTTCCCCGGCACGGCGGCACGGCACGGCGGCACGCAGAGCGCGGCGCGACGCGGAGGGCCTGGCTCCGCCGCTCCGCCCGGGGCGCGACTCGAGACCGGACTGGATTTCGAAGCCCCGCGCCGCGCCCCGCGACTCGGATAGAGATCGGACCCTTGTCGCGCCATGGCGGCGCACCACCACCGCGATCCCGGCTTTGAGATGGGAGCGCCGAGCCCTTTCTCGAGTTGTCCTCCCATTTCGCTTTTCATAAAATCACCCCCCCTCCCCCTTCCCCCGCGGCGTCGCGTCGCGTCGTGACCTTCACGGTCGCCTTGCCGCACTGTCACGGCCCGCCGGCCGCGGCGTCGCCCACTTTCAGGCATGCGGTATCGGCCGCCGCTCTGTCTCGCTCTGTCTCTCTCGCACCCCTACGGGCCGCGAAGGGCCGCCGTGACGCCCCGTGAGTGCGACGGAGACAGAACGACGAAGCGACTCCTGGCGACGGGTCTGCCCCGCTCCGCAAATTCGAGACGAAACGAAAATGCAGTGTGCCGGCCGTCAAGCGGAAACCGCCTGCCGAGCGCGGCGTAGGCAACCCGCGGCGCTCGCGTGCCGGGCGGCACGGCCTGCCCGCCGCTTGCAGGCTGAACGGAGAGGCTGTCTCTGTCGCACTCTCGGGGCGTTGCGGAGGCCCGCAGGGGTGCGAGAGAGACAGAGCGACGTTCGTGCTGGCGGAGTGTCGGAGTAGCATTTCTAGATCTGTGGCGCCCCTTCGTGTCGTCTGCAGACTGATTCCGAGAGTTCGTCGCTGCCTCTCTCGAACCTACACGGGACGCCCCATGAGTGCGAGAGAGACAGAGCGACGAAAACGACTCAGCCGTGGCGTTCGTGCCGCGGACGCGCGCCGGCGGTGCAGGTGCTTGGCGCGGTGACCTGCTGGCCCGCCGCCGGGATGGCCGTCGGCGTACTCGCCGGCGCGCTCGCCGTCGCCGCAGAGGCCCGGACGCTACCGGCGGCGCGAGCCCGGAGGCCCGGAGCTACCGGAACGCAGGAATGCCGCGTGCGTCCATACGGCGTGGCCGGCAGCGCGGCAACAGGTTCAGCCCCCCCCCTCCTCCTTTTCCTCCGCAGTCGCACCCATTCTACTTTCTCCCGGACCAGCAGCCCACTCACTAAACCCAGTGACTGAGTGCCCGCCCCCCTCTCCCTCGAAGCCAAAGACCTCTGCGGAGGCCAAGGCCCCAGCTGCTCCGCATCATCGGCCCTCTCTCTCTCTCTCTCTCTCTCTCTCTCTCTCTCTCTCTCTCTCTCTCTCTCTCTCTCTCTCTCCCCTCTCCCCCTCTTCCCCTCTCCCCCACTGTTCCACGGGTCTTGATCCTGAATGACCCCACGGGGCGCCGTCTAAACACGCCCCTCTTCCCGTTTCCAAGCGACTCCGCACGGCGCGTTCGTCGCTCTGTCTCTCTCCCACTCGTGGAGCCGTAGGGCGGTCCGTCTGGGTGGGAGAGAGACAGAGCGACGAGCTGTTGTGTGCGGAAGCGCGATCTGCAAAAGTCACCGCCAGCCTCGGTCTTTTGTATATCAGAAAACGAAACTGTCTTCCTTGTGGCCGATGTACTCCGGCGCGCGCCACGCATCGGGAGACGCGAGAACGGTTTCGCACGCCCGGCTCCCCAGCAACGCGGACAAGCAGGCAGAGCTCTCCTCGCGCGCGGCGCGGCGAGCATCCCCAAACTACCCGCCGACAATTATTTTTGCCGAAATGGCCGCGCGCGCGTGCGAGCCTCGGGCGTGCCTTGGGCGTGCCTGGGCGTTGTTGTTACCGCTCCACTTTCATTTTCGGGCCGTTTATAATTTTCGCCGGCTGACGTCACTGGACTCTGGCCCGTCCGGCCGTGCGGCCCCCGGGCAGCCAAAGCCAGGCCAAAGCCCGCACCGCGTGCTCGCCGCCGGACCAGCCCGCCCCGCCCCGCCCCGCCCCACCCCGCCGCCGGACCCGCGATGTTACTTTCGCTTCGTGTCCGGCCGGGTCCATGGCCTCGGGCTGCTCCGGCTGCTCCGGGCCTCCACTGGAAAGGCTGGCCGCCTGCATGCCGCCTGCTAGCAGGGCTGGCAGGGGGCCACCTGCCGGACTGCTGGAGCAAAACAATCTCCCGAACCGACGAGACGAAACGAGACGGGACTGCCCGATCGCGCATCGCGCACCTCGCCCTGCCCGGCAACCCAATGGGCCGCGTCCAGCCGCGTCCACCGTCAGAAGGGTCCGAAGCCAGCAGACTGATTCCGAGAGTCGCTTTCGTCGCTCTGCCCCTCTCGCACCTTCACGGGGCGTCCCGTCCCACGAGTGCGAGAGAGACAGAGCGACGACAGTCACTTCAGGCCGGCCGGCCGGACGGACAGCCGATTGCCGTGGAACCCGTCCGTCCATCCCGTGTCTCCGCGTGTCTCCGTGTCAACGACGCGTTTCCCCACGTCCCCGTTCTTAAACGGCCCGGCCGCCCTGAATATTGTCACCAATACCAATTTCATTTAAATTTCGGCCTTCATTTAAAATTGAAGCGTCATTTAAAATTTTGGGCTTCGTCTAAATATTGGGCTTTGTTTAAATTGCGGGCTTTGATTAAAATTCGGGCTTCCGTTTCATTTAAACTGCGGGCCTCGGTTGGATTTGGCCGCCGCTGCGCTGACTGCCGCTGCCGCTCCCACGCGCGCGGAGGCATTTCGTGCTTTTCTAATAACGCTCGGTCGTGTGTGGGTCCTACAAGTGCATGACCGCCTCTCAACACATTGAACGGCAGCTAGGCCGGTGCATGCGCGCGCGTGTATGTGTGTGTGTGTGTGTTTACACTCACACAGACACGGCAACGAGACGCGAGAGACGCGAGAGAGGTGAGGTTGTGGTAGAGCCCCTGCTCGGGCCCTCGGGGCTTCCACCCGGGCGGTAACTTGAGTGACCCACTTTCCACTCAAACACGTTCACTCACACACACACACACACACACATGCAGACACTCACGCACGCACACTAACACGCTTAGCCTAGGCCTAGAGTCACATCCAGAACTCATGAATAACGCATGCCCACGTCAGTCGCGCTTGTCCTCCCCTTCCTCTTCTTCTTCTTCTTCTTCTTCTTCTTCTTCTTCTTCTTCTTCTTCCTTGTGGCGCACTGACGCACGCTGACGGCTCGACCGACGGCGACGGACCGATGGCCCGCAGACTGATTCCGAGGGTCGCTCCGTCTCCCTCGCACTAAGGGGGCATCCCGTGTAGGTGCGAGAGAGACGGAGCGACCGAATCAGTCTGCTGAGGGGAACGCGCCGACGCGGGAGTCCCGGGAGCAGAAGGTCCGCGTCGACGCTCCGCCGGCCGGACGCCCCGCCGGAACACTTTCGGTCTCGTTTGGCTCGAGGTTGCCGGCATTGCCGGCATTGCCGCCATTGCCGCCGCGGCCACACGAGTCGCTCTGTCTCTCTCGCACTCATGAGGCGTCCCCTGTAGGTGCGAGAGAGACAGAGCGACGAAAACGGCTCTCGGAATGGGTCTGCAGGCCAAGCCGCGGGGCTCAAATTCGCTGCTTCCGGAGAAACCCCGGGGGGGTCGGGTCGGGTCGGGTCGGCCCGGTGCATCCGGGACGCGGACGAGGACGCGCGAGGATGACCCCTCCGCGTTGCCGCCGTGCGAAAAAAGATTTCAAAAAAAATGCGCGTCTCCGGCGTTGGTTTTAATTGGCGAAAGAGCCTTTTACTCGGTGCCGGGCTGCCGGGCGGCGCGGCGGAAGGGATGCGCAGCGAGGCCATGGCGAGGCCAAGCGAAGCGAGACGCCGCGCCGCGGAGCCGGAGGCTTTATGGCCGCGGACTCTCCTCGCCGGCCCGTCTTTATTTCGACCATAACGCCGTTCCCTTCACTCTCTCTCTGTCTCTCTCCTGCCTGGCTCGCCCCGTGTCGGGGCTTTGCTCTCCGCTCCGAGTGTACCACACACTCCAGTGTGTGCACCACGCATGCCGGCGCGGCGTACGACGTGCACCTGTCGCGCACGTGCTGCTGTGTGTACGGCGGGGCGGGCGGGACAGTCCGAGCCGAAAGACCGGCCGGTGCACGCGGCCGCGCGGGTCAGGAACAGGCCGGCCTTTCTCCGAAGCCTGACGAAGCCTCCACGCTCGGCCCGGGCCGGCACGGCCAGCACGGCCAGCACGGCCAGCACAGTGGGCCAGAAGACCAGTGGAGGCGGCCAAAACTCTAGACGCGTTTTGAGCTCCAGAGTAGCTCAACAGGACTCGAACCGAGCGTGTGACCCCACCAATGGATTGCTCTCCGAACGAGGAATCCATTGGTGGGGTCACACGTTCGCTTCGAGTCCCATTTAGCGACTCTGGAGCTCAAAACGCGTCTGGAGTTTTGGCCGCCTCCGCCGGTCTTCTGGCCCACTGTGGCCAGCCAGCGCAGCCAGCCCACGGCAGGGGCCGGGCCGGTCGGGCCCCGACGCCAGACTTCGGTAATGGAGGCTCATGCCGTTTGGGTCGGGCAGGCAGGGCAGGGCCTGGCCCGAGGCGCGAGGTGCCCGTCGTGTCCAGGGCATTTCCATACGGGGCGAAAGTGAGGCGGGCCGCGGGGCGCGCGGAGCCTTGCGCAAGTTGAAGGGCGGCGCCGCCGCGCTCTGTCTCTCTCGCTCTCGCGGGGCGTTCCGTAAGCCCTGTGAGCGTGCAAGAAAGGCAGCGCGACTGAAACGTTCATCAGCTCCTCGAAAAGGGTCATCTCGATTCAAACACATGATTGCGCGGGCACCAGCCCTCGAACGAGGAATCGATTAGTCCCGTCGTGTGTTCGATAATGCTCGGTACACTGCAAGGTGTACCTATGCACTGCTGGCGGGAACACGCGCCGGGGAAAGGAAAGACCCGTAATGGCGGTGAATGAATTGCTTGCCAGTGTGGTTGTGGAGCGCGCCGCAGTAATTGCGTAAAGGCGCTGCTCGCACTAAACGGCCAAAGCGCCGCGCCGCGCGAGTTTCGAGTTTCTCACCCCCGCGTTTTAGTCTTCAGCCGAGTCGAGAGCGTCGGAACGGCGCGCGTGCTTTCTCTGGAGTAAAACACGCACGGCGTGCACAATTTTATTTTGCTGTTGTTGCTGTTTATGCCAGGCGGTTTGAAGGCAGATGTTTCAGTGCCGCGTAGTACTCGTGCGTCGCATTAGTCCGAAGCAAGCAGCAGCTGCTGCCGGGGGAATTGGATTATCCGCCGCGTGGCCTACTACGGTGCTCCGGTACTACTCCGGTACTCCGGCAGTACTCTGGCTCGGAAAGCAATACCCCTTCGGGCCCCGTCGGCCCCCTCGGGTCATCAGTGTCCGCCCATCCACTTTCGGGTGCGCCGCACTGCACCGTCGTCCGTCGTACCGCCGTGCTTTGAATCGTGAAATCGTGACGGGCACCGCCGCCGCAACAGTGTACCGGTGCACAGAGCACCCGGAGTCCATTATTGCTTTTCGGCCTTCGGCCCGGCCAACTCGCAGTGGAGTGCCGCGCGTCTACGACCGACCAATCGGAAGAAGCGGCCACTCGCTCGAGCACCGATTCGACGACTGTCTTTGTCTTTCCGGTGTCGTCGTCGTCGTCGTCGTTTTCGCGACGGAGGGACGGCGGGTCCGCACGACTGCTTTCAGTGTGGATGTGCGGCGCCTTGTCTCGCATGCCGCGGCGTTTGATCCATTTGCGTGGCGCGCCGCGTGGTTCCGCCGTGCCAGACGCAACCTTTCTCGGACTACTGCACGCGCGCGCGCGCGCGTGTGTGTGTGTGTGTACGTGACGGAGTGTGACGGCGGCCGGACGGTCCACGCCACGCCACGGGCGCGCGTGACAGGGCGTGGCGCCGCGGCAGGTGGAAGGGGCAGGCACGCCGGCCTTACCTTGTTAACTTGGAATGCGGAGTGAAAGTGGCAGTCCAACGCCCGCCACGCCCCACCACGCCCCGCCACGCCCCGCCACGCAGAGGGAGGGTCAGCACTCCGTCCGGCGTGCGTGCGCGTGTGTTTCCCTGCGCGTGCATTTTCTGGTGCACCGTGCGGCCGTGCGCGTGGAGAATGCGTTTTAGGCGGGAGATGACACTCGGCCCGAGCTGGCCACACGTTTTACGTTTTCTTTCGTTTGTCAATGTCGCCCTCCAAAGTGTGTTTGCCAGATAAGCGGCCAGTCCTGCTCCGAGTAAACAAGTTCTCTCCTCCTTGTTTTTCTTTTCTTTCCTTTTCTTTTTTGTGGGGGGGGGAGGATTTTTCAGATCCCCTTACGACCTTATTTTGCCCTCTTTCTTACAACGTTAACGTTAACGGCAGCGTTACCAGTAGTTGTGGCCTTGGTAATAAGGAAAAAGGAAAAAAAGAGCATCTTGCTTCCCCCCTTAGCTTCCTCTCTCTAATAACTGTGTGAAACACAACCACTACCTTGCCAGATCTATTATTCTATTTCGCGTGTGTGTATGTGTGTGTCATGTTCGGCGCGCGCGCGACGTGGGCAATTATGGTCTTATTAGTACCGAGGGAGAGAGAGAGAGAGATGGGAGGAGGAGGTGGCGCTCCATTTCTCATCGGGAGGCCCGGCCCGCCCGGCCCGCCCAGCCCCGGCTGCTGCAGACGGGCTTCTCCTCTCGCGGTCTCGCACGCGAGGGCCTCTCGGCGGACTGATTCCGAGCAGGCGGCCCCTGCGTCTCTCTCACTCCGCAGGGGTCGGCCCGTGCGGGCTTGCGGGTGCGAGAGAGACTGAGGTGCAGTTAGGTGGTTTGGCCGCACGCATTGTGTGGCTGTGTGGGGCTACCAGCCTAATTAGGCGTTCCTTATGGCGGTCTTGGCCGTCTTGGCGGTGGGGGCACGACGCCGGCCTCAGCACCTCCCCGTCGACGACGCGCGCCCTTTCCCCACCCCGCCCCGCCCCGCCCCGCCCCGCCCCGCTCTCGGCCGGAAGCTTGCTGCCCACAAAACACCGTTCCCTGCAGCCTTTATGGAAGAATATGACCGTAAAAACGAACACGTGGTCGCTGCTGCAGCCCAGCGAGGCCCAGGCTTCGGCGACGGCCCCAGCCGGTCTCCAGCCAGTCTCCAGCGCGGGCAGACAATGCCGCGCGGATTTCACGGCACAGATTAAAGGGGCAATAACTGAAGACTGAAAGCACGGTGCCGGCGGTGGTGGCCGTGGCCGTCGTCGTGGAGGCCGTGGCAGTGGCCGTGGCCGTGGCAGCGGCCGCGCCAGCCGCGCCCCCCACCGGGATGTTTGCCCGCGCGCGACACGCTCAGACACACTCTCTCTCCCTCCTCGTGCCGCAGGCCTTCCCGCAGGCCTTCCCGCAGGCCTTGCCGCAGCTAGGGCAGGGCGACGTTACACCGTGTGTGCGCCATACTGCACTGGAAAACACAATTCTGCCGACTTGGCGCTTAACTTGCCTTAGCCATCGTACTGTCACGAGCTTCGAACGTTTTTGTTGACCCTTCAGAGCTTCGGAAACGAATTGATTTGCGGGCCCCTTTTTTGTGAATGAGCGATTGGAAAGATCTTGTGGCACCATGCTGGCGTAGCGCCGCGGTGTGGCCGGCGGGGGCGGGGAGCGCCCGCGGGCATGAGTGGTCTAGCCCTTAGTGGTAATGGTAATGGGTGGGTAGGCCGCACTGCACTGCACAGCGCGGCGGCGTGGCGGCACGGCCCGCCTCGAGGCGCTGTGCCGCGCTGCAGCGCTCCGGGGCCTCCGGGGCCTCCGGGGCTGGCCGACTGGTTCTCGCCGCGCCGCGCCGCGCGTCGCTTTCCTTCTCGCCGCGTGCCCGCGCACTTTTTGCTCCAATTTGTGCCGCGCATACCCAATCGCCCTTTTCGCGGCCGTTGCGCCGCCAGCGCCGCCACGCCGGCATTGTGTTTTTGTCGTTCAGCGAGGCAAGGCAGCCGCGGCTTTTACGTCAGCGCGCGTGGTCCAGCCTCCCGCACACTGATCCCGAGCGCCGTTCTGTCTCTCTCGCGCCCATAAGGAACACCCCATAAGTGCAAGAGAGACAGAGCGACGAAAACGACTCTCGGAATCACCCTCCAGCCTCCAAGCGCGGTGCGGTACCTGCGGTGCAGGCACTGAGAACAGAGCCGTCGCTACTCCGCGACGGCATGGGGTGTGGACACGCAGGCACGCAGGCGCTTGGACAGCGCGCGGGAAAATTTAAAACCGCGGAGGTGCTGCGAATGGACACCAGAACGTAGTGCGACCCGGCCTTGACGGACTCGCGGCGGCGGCGTGCCTGTCTTGGCGCCAACATGGAGGGGGCGGGGCGGGGCGGCTGTCAATCTCCTTTCTCGTTTCTCGGAGAGCACACCGCGCCGGCTCCGCTTTCCTATGCCTTCGACGGAGCAGGAGCTGGAAATGAACCTGGGCAGGCTGCAGCGACAGCAGTCCAGGTGGCACACACACGCGCACACACACACACACACACAGTCTGTCTCTCGCACTGCGCCGCCTTCTCCGCCCATCGCGGCCCGTTCGAACAAAAGGCGTGGCGTCCACCTTGTGCCTCGCGGTGCCTCGTGGTGCCTCCAGCTCGTCAGCGCGAGTCAGCCCGTCTGGCCCAGTTTCCGTTTCCACATCGCAGACGCGCGCGCCGTGCGTAGCGGCGTGGCGGCGTGGAGCACCGCGGCTGGACGTGAAAAGCGAGAGACACGGAGCAGTGAGGCTGCTCAATGAAGTGCGGCGTGAGGCGCTGCCGTCTGCGCCGTGAAGAATAGGCTCTCTTGGTGGCGGTACGACCATAGCCTAGTGGTTAGCGTGCCTCTGCGGCGTACGAAATGTCACGGGTTCGATCCCTACCGAGTGCCGCCCTTTTTTTTCTGTTTGTCGTCGTTGTCTTTGTCGTCCTTCTGCCTCACGTGACCTAACCCCATCCGTTTCCCTGTTGCAGGGTGCGTCCTCCGACGCTCCACTCCTGGACGCGGCGTCCCTGCCGCTGGAACACAGAGCCGCCTATGGCCCCCCGGCAGCCCCGGTGTACGGACCTCCACCCCTCGGGGGGCCGGGGCCAGGGGGCAACGCGCTGGGCAACGCGCTGGGCAACGCGCTGGGCCACGGCGGCGACGAGGCCTGGCCCCTCGCCACGCCCGACATGCCGCAGATCAAGCACCTGCAGGTGCAGTGCGAGAAGACGCACATGAGGGTCAACATCGAGTTCGACAGGCCGTTCTACGGCATGATCTTCTCCAAGGGTGAGTCTGAGACCAGCTGGACCGCTCGGCCCCCAGACTGGGGCGTTCGACGTTTGCGGGAGCAGCCTTGGTCTCCGCCTTGAATCGGCTACCGCAGGGTCCCTTGGGGACGCGCGGTTGGCTTGTCGGGTTTCTCGTTACTCCTGCCCTGACGTGGTGTTGCAGGCTTTTACAGTGACCCACACTGCGTGCACCTCAAGCCCGGCACCGGCCACCTCAGCGCCACCTTCGAGATCTTCCTCAACTCGTGCGGCATGTCCTCGTCGGGCAACCAGCAGGGCGGCGGCGACTACGGCGGCCACGGCCCCACGCCCTCCGGCTCCTACGTCGAGAACACCATCATCGTGCAGTACGACCCCTACGTGCAGGAGGTGGGGTTTGTCGAGCTCGTCGCGGGCTGCCGAAAGTATAACGGACACAGTGTGCTGACCGTGTGCTTCTCCGCCAGGTGTGGGATCAGGCGCGCAAGCTGCGCTGCACGTGGTACGACTTCTACGAGAAGGCCGTCACCTTCAGGCCCTTCCAGGTCGACATGCTGCACGCCGTCACCGCCAACTTCCTCGGCGACAACCTCCAGTGCTGGATGCAGATCCAGGTAAAGGGTCGCGCCCCGCCCCGCCCCGCCCCGCCCCGCCCCGCCCCCGGCGTGGGAAGTGGGGCCGTGCGAGCACGCCATGATGGTCCCATTCTCATCACTAACGCGCCGGGGCGCCGAGAGACAAAAGCCCCTTTGGTCGCACTCTAGGCCTAGACGCACCGCACCGTGCGTGTGCGCGCATGCGCCCTGCCCGCGGTTCCAGCGGCCCGCTAGCGCCACTAGCGCCACTAGCGCGGTAGTGTCGGTCACTGGTAACGGCGGGAAAGGCGCCCCGCCGGAGAGTCGAACCCAAGACTGGACCGACAACGGTGATATTGGTCGACGTCGACCGAGGCGCCCGACGAGCACCGCGTAGGCCAGCCCGCACAGCAGCCGTGTTGAGCGGGCGGGCCCACGCTGCAGGCTGACGTCGCTCTGTCTCTGTCGCGCTAGGCACACCCATGGCGCTGCGAGAGAGACGCAGCGGACGAAACGGCTCGTCTGAACCCCTCGGCTAACCGTACACAAAGACCGGGAGTGTCTGACCTCATCGACGTCCTTCTGTCCACCAGGTCGGCAAGGGTCCCTGGGCCTCCGAAGTGTCCGGCATCGTCAAGATCGGCCAGACGATGACCATGGTGCTCGCCATCAAGGACGACGAGAGCAAGTTTGACATGCTGGTCCGCAACTGCGTGGCCCACGACGGCAAGCGCGCGCCCATCCAGCTGGTGGACCAGCACGGCTGCGTCGTCAGGCCCAAGATTATGAGCCGCTTCCAGAAGATCAAGAACTTCGGCCCCTCCGCCTCCGTCGTGTCGTTCGCGTACTTCCAGGTCAGACCGTCATGTTTGGAGCTCTTTTTCCGTCCTCGCTGGTCGAGCCGCCTTCCTGTAACCACCGCTCTCTGTTCCAGGCCTTCAAGTTCCCCGACTCGATGAACGTCCACTTCCAGTGCGTCATCCAGGTGTGCCGATACAACTGTCCTGAGCCCAAGTGCGGCGGGCACGGCCTGGCCGGCCTCGGCGGCCTCAGCTCTGAGTACGGCGCCCCCGGCATCGGCGGTCCCTCCAGCGAGTACGGCCCCCCGCCCCCACCCCAGATCCACGGCGAGTACGGACCCCCGCCCCTCGGCGACCAGTACGGACCGCCCGCGGCCTACCCCGACCCCAGGCACCCCTCAGGTTCGTGCCCGACGACGGCCTGTACGGCCTGCGCCAAGTGTTGCCCGTTACCTGTCCCTTCACCTGTCACCTCTAACTTTGCGTTGCGTCACTGCAGGGCCCTCCGGCGCGTATTCGGAGCCCCAGGAGAACATCGTGCCCGCCCCCCAGGCGCAGCACGGCGCCGCCCCCGAGAACGCCTCCACCGCCTCCGAGAAGTCCTCGCAAGAACAGCAGCAGCCATCGCAACAGCAGCAGCAACAGCAGACATCCGCGGCGCCCCCGCAGCCCCAGGCCGTGCCCAGCGCCAGCGGCAGCGGCGCCGACCTCAACATGCCGCCGCCACCGCTGCCCGGCAGGCAGGGCACCTACACCACCGTCAAGAGGAAAGGTAGGGCTCGCCGCGTCGCCGCGTCCGAGACTGCAACGTGCTCTGCTGCCCACCGCTAACGCACTCTCTGTTCCAGGAGGCGTGCTGGACGAGCTGGAGTCCAACCTCGCGACGCTGGGCGGCCGGCCGCGCTCCGTCGAGTCCCTGCCCGCCGAGCTGGCCGGCGCCAGGCGGCGAAGGCACGCCGACAGCTTCACGCTCACGCTCGGCACCGCGCCCAGAGTGGCGCGCGTGCGGAGGGAGGCGGGCCAGGAGATGACGGACGTCAACACGAGCCGCATCATCCAGGTGAGTCTGAGTCCCGGGGAAGTCTCCAGGGAAGTCTCTCGACTCGGTTCTAAACGGTGCCGGTTGCAGGTCGTGGCCCCCGGCGACGTCAACTTCGCCCTCAACGCGGGTGCCTCCTCCAACGAGACGGTCGTGATCCAGTCGGCGGCGCAGGGCCTGGGCGCGGACCAGGAGCACATCTGCATGTCGGTGCCGTCCTTCGTGGGCGGACTGGTGATGCTGCTGCTGGTGCTGGTCGTCAGCTGCCTGGTGGCCGCCTTCCTGTTCGTGCGCGTCCGGGCCATCGACCGCAAGGGCATCACCACCACCTTCGGCGTGCTGCCGGGCCGCGGCTTCGACAACACCGAGTACGTCAAGGGCATCAACTAGACGCAGTCGACGCAGTCCAGGTCCGCGCCGCCGCCGCCCGGTCGGCGCGAGGCGTCGCGGTCCGCGGGGTCGCCGTCGACGCGACCCACGCCCCACCACGCCCCGCAGCGGCCGGCGCGCACTCCGCCGCGGACGCCGAGAAGGTGTGCGGCAAAAGTGTGACAAGGCCCGACCGGCGGAGAGAGGAGAGGGTTCGACGCGTTCGACGGGCAGCAACGAGAGGAATAGAGATAGAGAGTCGCCACTTTTCCAGTCTCGTCTTCAGTCGAATTCTTAAAATAGTCGTAGTTTACTGGTACCCCGCTGACCGCGGCGCCCAGGCGGGCGGAGCGCGGGGCGGGGTAGAGCAGCGTACGTTATATTAACGGTGTTAGCCGGGAGCAGCCGGAGGAGCCGGAGGAGCCGGAGGAGCCGGAGGAGCAGTGGAAGGAAGGGGGCCGCCGTCGTCCGGCCCTCTCCTCAGGACAGGAGAACGACGCGACGAGTGCAGTGACGTCACGAGAATGCCGCCTTGGACCGTCTTGGACTGTCTTTGGCGGCCGCTGCGGATTCCGATTCCGACTGGGCCCCTTTTCGCCTTTTCGTTTCTAATCGTATTAGTGATTTCTAGCCAATGAGGCGTTGGCTCAGGAGGAAGCGAGAGTGAGGGGGTGAGCGGGCGCACGCTCCGCGTCCCTACCGCTGTTTTGCTCTTCTTCCTCTTCGTGAGCAAATGCATCATTAATGTTTTAAATGAGAAATTATGCGGTAAAACTGGTAGTACGTTGGAGGGCTGAATATGGAGGGACAACTCCGACGCGGCGAAGCACGCTCAGTAGGATAGTACCAAAGTGATCCAAAAGTTGCAACACGCGCGCTGCTACTGGGTAGTAAATCTTAGCGCGCTAGGCTCAGACCCTTTATCGAGTAGCCTTTTCCTTTTTCTTTGCCTTGCCTTCTTTTTCTCTACGTTCAACGGAACGGAAGGGCTAGTCAACCAGATTACACTGGGCCCCATGGGCTGGGGCCGCCGGAGCTTCCCAGAGCTTCCGCCTTCGGGCCCTTCGGGTCGCGGCCGCGTCATCGTCATCGCGTTTCCGGTTTTGGTGACCACGTCCGGTCCGGCCGATGGAGCCAGTCTGTTCAAGTTACAAACGCTCGGGCGCGCCTCATTGGCGTGCCGACGGCGAGCCTGAAAGGGCCTGAAAGGGTCTCCGAGAGGAGTTGAACAATCGATTTGGTGTTAAATTCCGGGCAAAGGGAGGGGGAGGGAAGTGGTGGAGTGTTTTAGGAATGGCTATATCTCGGACATTTTCCTAACCCTTTCAGTCCAGAAAAAAAAAGTGATTGGCGTAAATAGGATTTCTGTACAAAACAATTCAGATGGCCATGCCTGTGCCTGTGTAAGCTTGTGTTCTGGTCTCTCTTGTGCTGACTTGTACAAAAGTGGTCTGCAATTGTAGCTGTACTTAAGTAATGTTAGGATCCATGTCCTCTTAAAATCCAAGGTATGTTAATGAAAAATTGTGCTTTGAATTGGAAACCCTACTCTAAATTGTAGCCAGCCTTTTTTCAGTCTTCTCAGAAAAAGAAACTGTCATTTCTTTTTCTTGTGTTATGTTGTTCTTGTGTGATCTATGTGATGTTGTAAGTATTATGTACACTTATGCCTGTCTAGATATTTATTGAATTCAAGATTTTCTTGGATTAGTGATTAGTTTTGTCAAATTAGGTATGCTTGTATTCCTGCAAAGAAATATGTTGTGGGTGGATCACAAAATATTCAGGTCGGCAAGTGTTTCTTTTTTTATTATTTATTTGATAGAAAAAATGTCCCATTCTTTCTTTGTAGTTTAAGTTTATTTATGAACTTCCACTCACCTACCCCTGCTAACATTCCTGCTCTTACGAGACTGTTTGCTTTATTGTTTTTGTTATTTGAAACTGTTTACCATAAAAGTAAAAGTCCTGTGGATGGCTTATACAGCCTCTATCATCACATATACATACATATATATGACAACATCATCATATTAGAATATGTACATATTTATATATATATATGTATATGATAATAAGCAATGCTTTAAAAATGGTCTGTTTTTTACCTTGCCAAATTGTTTCCACTTGTCTGTGGGATTTGATCACTGTTGATTTTTCCAAAGTAGCAGTACTTACACAAATTTGTACTATACACAATATAAGAGTTGCATGTACATACAGAACCTTGAGAGACGGTATCAAAAACATGCCTCGGGCATGCAAACAAAATTGTATTTACTAAATATCTGTATTATTTCTGTTCTACTGTTGTCCGTTAAACCATTGTTACTTGATCGGTACTACATCAAATTAAAACACGTTTTAATTCTAACTAAGGTATGTGGGATGCGGCTTGTATGGCCCCATTTAAATTGCCCTCCCCCCCATTATGAAAATGATTTTTACCTGTCCAAATAAAATTATTAAAACTTAACTGTGATTTCTTACTGGATGCAGCTGCATTTATGGAGCCTCGCACGTCTAAATTAAATCCTCACATGTTCCATCTGGGACTCGGCTTCTGTCGAGCCCAAATTCGAGTATGTTGTCTGGGAGCTCTCCCTCGGGTCTCCTGATATTATTTTGAGAGCTATTTTGGCCCAAAACAGTCTTTTTCCGGCCAAAAACCTGAACTATTTGGGCATGCGCCTGAAAGGTAGGCGACCCACCTTCCACAGCCTCTTCACCACACCATCAGTTGTGTGTGAGCATTTAAATGCTATTTTCCTCTGGGCAAGGGATGGGTAAAAAAAAGAACAATCAGTTTCCGAGTTTTTAAGTTTTTTGCCAAATTGGCTTTATTTCCATATTTGAATAAAAAGGGAAAGCTACATACATCAATTGTGTTATGTATAAAATTCTCTCACATCAGTGTGGGTGATATAAGTTCTGTCAGTTCAAACCTGCCACTTTACAATTAGGAGAAAAGTTGACTTGCAGTTATTTATTTTTTTCAACCTTAAATGGATAACGGAGCCTACTGCACCTGAATTTTTAAACAAAATCAAAGTATTGAATTGGACAATGGAATCCAATATGCCTCTGCATTTATCACCACAATCAATATCAACTCTGCATCAGTCTTGAGGTCATAATGGGAGGGAAGGGAAGGGAAGCCATACAGATAAGCCACATTTCTAGTTTCTTAACTTCATATTTGCACAAATTACTTTTTAGACAAAATCTTTCCAATCCTCCTAGAACAAGCCACCTTTTAAAATGGCTTTACTTTAAAATTGGGTGCAGGACTTTATGCCCAGCAAGATGAAATATACTAAAAAATAAAATAATGTACACACACTTCCTCTAAACATACACGCCGCTGACAATAGACCAGCATTACATTTACATTTGGCATACCGAATCATTCAGGGTGTCTACTACATTCTAATAATAAGAGAGTTAGTCCAGAAATCGGGGTGAAATGACTAAGCAGTTCAATGAATAGTTCCATTGATCGATATGTTCAATAATTTTTACAAAGCATTCAGTCCTAATCAAAAGATTGTAACTCTTGCTATGTATTAGAATTGGAAGTGTAATAATCAGTTTTACCAAATTTCGCGATTGCCTTAGTGTTCCTGACAAAAAGGCTTATTTTATTTTATTTTAAAAGGAGCGTTGATGAGCGAATACCCCTTGTCGGATGGATGGAATACCATACTAATCAACAAAAACAGGGGTGGGCAGAAATAGAACATGAGGTTTGTGGCAGATTAGAGTTGTGAAACAAATACTTGAGAAATTTGGATCAACTGATGCAAATCAATAGTTTTCTGTAGTGGAGGGTGGGAGAGGGTGATACAGACATGTTTCTTGGAAAAAAATTTCTGAACATCTATTTGGATTGCAATGAGCTACAGTAATAACTCTTGTCATTAGAAATGAAAATATTCAATACTGGTGTGGCCATAAAATCAAGCTGAAATGTATGGTTCAGATTTTATTGATGATTTGAGGTTTAACTCTCTTCAGACATCAAGAAACCTAGCAGACACTATCAAGTAGGTGAACAATACTATTTTAGAATTAAAGACATTAAATCCAATGTTAAGGATAGGATACATATACATACAACATTTAAGAGTACCTAGAGAACATTTTCATTTACTGATATGCAGACACCCTGATGAAAACGGAAAGATCTGAAACTATTGAAAATGCGAATTTTGTCAGTGTGGAAACCATTTTTAGATATTAGTGGTGGCAAAAAAGAACAACCTGCTCTTCTAAGATAATTTCATCTTAGGTGAGCTCTTTTCCTTGTTTCCTTGCAGTCAATTGATTAATGACATGTCTATATTAGTCAGGTTTGGACACTTAAAAGTAAGCCACTGATTAAAAAGAAAAGAAAATCAACCCTACTTTGTCAAGTACAATATATAAACTAGATTGTACGTCAATAGGGCCCACACGAGTAGAAGCTCTACTGATTTTCATCTGTACAACATGTTTGCTATCACACTTGCATACTGGCAGATGTGCCACACTGCACAAACTATCCACATACAATAACATGAAATCCAACTCCACCCACATAGCACACAAATAAACTATCAATTGTCTGTTTAAAAACAACACATACAAAAATGCAGCAAAGAAAGTTGGAGCAACAAACAACTTTCAAAGTTTTTAACACATGATCACAATTATATATGCAAATAGCACGATAATATTAAGACATAGAACAGAAAAAAGAAAGTGATGAGTAGGACTCGCTGCCACATTGTGTCAAGTATACATAAGAAGTTGTACATTGCCATGCCAATCCCCTCCCCTCAATTGCAGATCCATTTAAGATTGTTATTCAAGCCATTCAGGAAACATTGTTATAAGAGAGCAATGCTGAAGATGTGGTTGATCTGTCCAACACAAATGAATTAAAACAGAAGAAAAAAAAAAAGCTTTGGACTTATCAATGCAGAGATCATTAGAGACTTATTAATACAGAAATGCCATATACATGTAGACACCTCCCTTCAATGACCTGAACAAAGTTCAAATATTGGAACCTAGGTTTAATAACAATGCACAATAAATTCAAATATTGAATCGAGACACAAGAAAAATCATCAGGGAGGGGAAATTTTCAATCATCCTAGATGCTTGTACGGTTTGGCACAGAACATGACCATTGTTTAGTGGACCATCTTAAATGCTGGTATCTCGAGATTTCTTAATCTACATGTCTGTACTAAAATGCTCAAAGTGCAGAGACAAATTCGTTTTACCCCTTTTAATGCATTTATCAATTCATAAATCTGTACAAAAACTAGGATGAAGCATTTTATACAATGCTCTCTTATCAGTCCATTATAAACATCAATGCAAGCTTATTAGGATGTAACAAATACACCAAATGAACAGCAAAGAACACATCTCCACGTGCCTTGTTAATAATAGTGAGGAGATACCTTCATAATATGTAACAAATTTACATATTGATTAATGATTTAAATCATTTGGCCTTTACCGATTAATTAGAAATTTTATAAATTAAAATGGTATTGATAACTAAGAATGCCTTTAACTCAGAGCACTTTGACAATAAGTGAGAAAGCAGATATATTTAATATTATGAAAGGCTATGATCAAGAGAACCAAGAACAGATAAAAATTGACACAGCCCAAAAGGTGGAGTTTCCCATTGTTGTAACTTTTGCATTAAAGCCTAAAACACCAGACTAAGTCTAACGCTAAATTTAAAATTTTGAATCTGATATAAAATCCGAAAATACAATTAACAAGCAAAACAAAAATTAAGAGAAAAAAAAAGTACAACTGCCGCTATGCACAGGTATCCACAGAGCGTGGTCAAAATCCTTATCTTTTTACACTATTGTTTTACTTTCATAGTTACACATCACTTGTTCACATACAATAAAATGCTAAACACATCACTGAAGGGATGGCATGGTACTGTACCTTTCCAGGTAGCTTTATGAGCAACAGATATGGTAGATATGCAAATGAAACGGATTTGTAACACATAATAAGCACCACTGAATAACCAGACAAGAGATAAAATTTTATTTCAAAATCTTGCAGAAACTTGCAAGCCTTCCAGCAAATTAAGCCACACACAAACTACTTGCTTCAGGCTTTGGTTACCTGATAGCCCTCTGCAACTTATCCTGAGGCTCTCTCCGTATCAATGGAGGCCAAAGTAATTCCTAAAATTACCCGATAGCTTAGGATAAAAATTGCAGAGGACAAGTAAAAAAAACAGATAGGACTGAACACGGGCAGTCCCATATTGTTGATCTCTTGGCCGCAGACACACCTCTTCAACAAAAACAAACAAACAAAAAAAGAAAAAAACAGGACCTCTCACTTATTTGCACTGACTTTGTTCTAAACAACACAACAAACAGTGCTTGGTGTACACATTCAGTCCTGACGGCCAAGAGAATTAAACGTTTCAAATAACACTGAAATAGGTTCCCTAAATTCAAGTATATTACTTGAAGCAAAGAACACTAAGTCGGTAACTTAAATTATCATGTTGTTTAAATTTATCAGTAAATATTTACAGAGGCATAAAAGAAACTGTTAATGCCTCTGTTGATCACTGAAGCTGAGAGTTCAACACATCACTCTTGAAGGGTTCTGATGGGGCAGCTTGGAAAAGTTCATTATAAACCCCATCACATTTACTTCTTCCACTTCTCACTTCATTTCTTGCCATTTTGCCGCAGGCTGTCCTTTGATATGCTGCCTCTACGGGCAGGTCCTGTGCCAGGACTTGAGACCGGCGGCGCCATTTGCACTCCATTCGAACTTTCAAACAAAACAATGGACGGCTCCATTAGAAGTTCACTCAGAACATAGAGTACACACGTAATTGTACACATTTCACTGAATCCATTTAGTACATAGAATGAGCGTGAGCTCTAAAATCTTCACTAAAAATTAAAAGCACTAAAATAATGGTTTTGAAGTCTTTGAAGAGCACAACAACAAATATAATTGGAAATCATAGCTGCAGTCACCATCATGAGCTATCTGCAAAAGAAAAAGCAAAAACATAAGCAAAAAAAAGAAAAAAGGTTTCTTGCACCAAAAACAAAAGCAACTGCAAACATGAGAGCCCACATGAGCAGAAGTGGCTAATTGAATGCACCGCAAAAACAAAACAGAAAATGCAGGCAAGCTAAGGAAATGTAAAATCAAAATTGAATTTGGATAAGCAGCAAGCCTCACAAACTAAAAGCAAAAAAGTAAAGCCTCTTTCAATTCTTTTTGCACAATGTGACAGTACTACAGCACATTTCCACCTTAAATGACTTAAAATTGCAGATGAGTTTGCTAAAATATCCAAACTACAGAACTGCATGACAAGAGACAAATACACTTGAAATGAAAGCAAGGCCGATCAGTCTTCCTACACGTAATTTTCCAGGAAGACCACACACATTACGGCAGCGTAACAGCTATGATTGATTGGTCTAGAATATTTATTATCTGCTCTAGGATTTGAAAATATTCATAAAACTTCCAGTCCAACATTGTGTAGTTCACCGAGACTAATGAATACTTACTTTGAAGGCTTTGGTTCTTGTCCTCTTGGCGTAGATAAATCATTGCTGGGGTTGGCTGCGGCTACTGCACCTCTATGCAAACGCATGCTTACTCTTCGCTCTTGAATTTCCCCCGAGGCTACTCGAAACCGTGGTGAGGCTGTAGAAAATACATTTCATAAGATGAATTAACACATTAACAAGCATTCATGACACCCAGGAAAGACGTGATTAAACATGTCTTACCAGTTGTGGGGCTGGCAGTGGTGACTGGGGGAGTTGGTCCAGCATTGGTATTTCCCATCTCGAAGTTGGCCCTACTCCTACCAGCAGTAGCCCCTGAAGCTGCGGCTCCAGCAGGAGCGGTCCTTTGCTGTGTTCTTGTGTGCCGCTCGCGCTGTTCTTCTGAATTACCATGTCTCGAAGCACCCTGGGCAGAATAAACGGGTTTTACTTGTTGATCCTTCAAAGCTCAAAGCAGGCTTTCTAAGCAGAAACAAATAACTTACAAATTTGAGCAAGTTCCAATCAAAAACATAGTCATAAGTAAAGCCCTGGCGGTGGAACAAAGTTCGGAAGAGTTGCCGAAGATAGGAGTAGTCTGGTCTCTCTTCAAACCGGAGTGCACGGCAATAATTTAAATAGGTAGGGAATTCAACTGTAAAAACACGATTGATGAGCAAACTTGGAAACAGACAGAAAATTATGATGTTAGAAGAGAGACAATAATGACAGTACCAGGAAATCCTTTGCACAATTCTTCAATAGAAGTGGACATTTTCTTCTCACTAATGCGTTCGTATTTCTGTCTCTTGGTTGCTGCTTTGAGCCCCTGCCATGGTAGAGACCCCCTATTGAAATACATTAGCACATATCCAAGGGATTCCAGATCATCTCTCCGACTTTGTTCTGAAAATGAGTAATATTGAGCAATCAGATCCCGTATTGAGGATTTCAAGGCAAAACACATGTACCATGTTTCTTAAAAATACCTAAATGCTTACCTATACCAAGATGTGTGTTGATGCTTGCATATCTTGCTGTGCCAGTTAGATTCTTATTTTCCCGATATAGAATATGTTGATGGGTGCGGCCATCACGGAATTTTTTAGCAAGCCCAAAATCTATAATGTAAACCATGTTCCCTTTCTTACCCAAACCCATTAAGAAATTATCAGGTTTGATGTCTCGATGAATGAAGTTACGGCTATGGATGTAGTCTATCCGACTGATCTGTGAACAAAAACCATTGTATGTGCAAATCAGATGACTGAAAATATTTTAAAAGTACATTTACTAGTAGCAATGAAAAAAGAGTGGACCCTTGCAAATAACCCATATGTAAACTCTCTCTTCCACAGTTGTGATAGGGATTTTCTTACATAATGAGTGTCAATGGGTCCATTCCCTAATCTGTGACTTGAAATGGAAATGTAAAAAAGACTTACAAGCTGGTCCGCTAAGAGAAGTACAGTCTTTAAGGTAAAGCGGCGGGAACAGAAGTTGAAGAGATCCTCAAGCGATGGTCCAAGAAGTTCCATCACCATAACATTGTAGTCGCCTTCTGATCCACACCATTTTATGATGGGGATACCAACTAGAAAAGTAACAAAACCACAATAAGAGGCTTTCTCTCTAAGACTAAAACAAAATAAGAGATGAGAGGGGGGCGATTGGCATTTCTCTTTGAGAAAAGAAAAAATGCAAAGGAAATAATTAGATCATATTTATCAGTATTGTTGTACAAGTTACAAGCAGCCTACAGTATGAAAAAGAAAGGTAAATGTAGAAAGAAAATAAATGAAGTTAAATAATACTGCAGATATACTAACAAAACAAAACATATCAATAAACTAAACTGTAGGAGGACAAGTTACATAGTTTGGTTATGGAAGGCAAAAGGAAAAGAAAACATAAAAATGAAAAACTTATGAGCAATGGATATTGCAAGAGAATCTAGAGACAACTGCTTGGTGCCTAAAATCGTAGGACCTAAAATAACATCAGCTGTACAGCAGCTATCTGTTGTTTTTAATCACTGAAAGAGCACTGAACTATCTAGGAGGCAGCTTGAGAGCTGGGATATTTCCACGGAGATTTACTAAGATTTACTTGGGATGTGAAAGAATGATAAACACCGAAGACTTGGCGGAATTCAAACACAAAGACTAGGACTGTCTTGTGTCAATCACCCTCCCCTCTCCACTTTTGTGAACTTACCTGCTCCCTGCATCATTTTGTAGAATTTGGATTCTATATGGAGTTGTGGATGGCGCGTCTTGACGCATTCTAGTTTAATAGCTACCTCCTGACCCGTGCAAATATTGGTGCCTGAGGGAAAACAAAGTTTACATTTGAGGAAAGGTTTTATTTTGATGACAATAGAGGTGCTTTACGGAGTCAAGGCAAGAAGACGCGTATTTACCCAAGTATATGTCCCCGAAGGAACCACTTCCAATTTTCCGACCTAGTCTGTACTTGTTTCCCACACGGAGCTCCATTTCTGAAATTGGACACTGAATATTAGGAGACAATGGAAACATAAACACCTTGCGTCGGAGCAGCCATGTTAGAAGCAGGCTCGCAAAATCGTCCAGACCCAGCAGAAAGGCTCATATTCAACCGCGTATTTCTCCTTTACCTGGGGCTCTGTTGAAAAACTATAAGTGCAGGCAGAATCTTCAGAATTCACTTATCCTCCCACTTCATGAACACATAGCGGAATTGCACCATTTGCGAGGATTGCTACGATATTTCATATCGAGAATCAATTTAATTTTCAATGACACTGCCCGAGACACACTGCGTAGTTCAGGTTTTCGCCGTCGTGGCTGGCGGCAGCACAGGCAACAAAAACAAAAGGGCAGCGAAATTCTATTCGTGGTGGGAGAGGTCTGTAGTCGCGCTGGAAGTTTCGAAATCTTTCCGTTTATGTTTTTAAATTGGTAATTCGTTGAGAAGTAAAATGGCTAATGTTAGACATGACAGTCGCAACAGCACTTCATTCATTCTTTGTTTAGTGCTGGATCTTTCGTTCCCCAGAGACGGAGTTCTGTATAAGAAATGCCTGCAGGTAATGACCGATGACCGTGTGTGGGTCTCATTTTCAAAATAGGTTTGGTTTTGTGTGGTTAAGACAGTTTATTGAAAACGATTGTTTTGATACAGGCATTGGAAAATGTCCTCGCTTGGGCACTCTACGCGCCTCACAATTTGTCTGTGGTTGGTGTAATGACCATAAACTCAACTCAGCAGCATAGGTTACAGTTCGTACCGTTCGGCGACAATTTTTCGGCGGTATCATCTGTGCTTGGGGCAGTTTCCAGATCTGTAAGTCAGTCTCGTTTAAATCTCTCTGCTTCGAGGGCAAGTGCGTGTCAGCTCGCCAAATTTTTTTGTGCATGTTACAGCCGGGGGATTCGCACTTCCACATGACTCCTCGAGATTTGAAAGATTCCTTATTCATGACGATCAACAAGGTGGTGAGTAGTCGCTTGGAGCGGAGTCCTTGGCTTGCCCACGCAATCGCTACCCCTCGTCGTGTGTTGCTTCAAGGTTCTGCACTTGAAGGAGAGGCGGCGGCTGGAGGCCGGCCAGATCGTGGCGACGGTGATAACGTGTCGCGACGGGAGCCTCGTGGGGGACGCCCTCGACGGCCTGCGCGACGAGGAGGCCCGCTACTTTGACGCCATGCTGGTAAGCCTTTCTGCCCCACCAGGGGAAGAGGGGGGAGGGGCAAAGCTCAATTTGTGGCCTGCCTCCTGCCTTGAGGCGGCTCCGTGGGAGGACGGCCCCCATCGGCTCCGGATCCATGCCCGGCCCCAACGCGGGGCTTGACCGGGCTTGACAACCCCTGCAAGACATCCATTCCACACATGTTCTCTGTGGACAGGTGGTGCAGCTGAGCACGGAGCCTTCCGTGCAGCCGCGCTTCTCGGCGTGCGGCGAGGCCCGCGAGGGCTGCGAGGGGCGGCCGGCGGCTCGGCTGGCCGTGGTGCCCGTGGCCGTGGGCGCCGCGGGGATGGACCGCTTGGAGGCGACGCTGCGCGCGGCGTGGTTCACCCCTCGCTGGAGCGACCTGCTGCCGCTGGACCTGGAGCTCGGCGCGCGCCCCGGCGCCGCGGACATCAAGTGCGTGGCCGCGCAGTGCGTGCTGGACGCGGGCCGCCTGCCCCTCGGGGACCACTTCACCCTGCTCGCGGCCGGCGGGGGCGGCGGGGGCGGCGGGGGCGCGGGGGGCGGCAGCGACCCCCGCGTGCTCCGCGTGGTGGCGCGCGTGTCCGCAGACGGCGTGTGCGAGGGCAGCCTGTTCGGGCAGCCGCTCAGGGTGACCTGGTCGCCGACGTCCGTCTTCCAGAGCCACGGCGACTTCCACCGCAACGCGCACGTGAGTCCCGCGTCGACGCCCGCACTGCCGTGTGCTTCTGACTGGTGGACTGACGCGGCGGCTGTTAGTTGTTTCTAGCGCTGTGCGAGTCCCTGGCCGCCAGAGACGAGCACCTCGTCGTCAAACTGCAGACGGGCGGCCCTCGGGGCGGCCGGCCCACGGCCCCCACGGCGGCGAGCGGCCACTTCGTCTTGACGTCCGGTGCGTATTCTCTTTGTCTTCCTAATCACCACCACAATGCCAACAACGGGAACACTTGCCCCTCCAGGCGACGAGTGCTTGCTGCTGCGCCCCATCGCGTCCGCCGAGCTGGGCCTGCCGCCGCCGCCGCCACCTCCGGTGCAGTACGACGGCGTCCTGGCGGCGCGGGCCGAGCAGGAGGTCGCCGACGCCCTGGACGCCCTGCCCGTGGAGGAGCAGTACCGCGCCAAGGACTTCCCCAGCGGACTGTGCACCGCGCTGAGACTTGTAAGCAGCCTCGTCCAAACTGGTCCTACGCCAAGCCGATTGATTTGCGAATTGGCGCATGACGTTGTTTCGCCGTTCGGCTTTTCTCTTCGCAGAGGGCCGACTTCCCCGAACGCCTGTCCCTGCAGCAATTGAAGGCCGGCGTCCCCGCGGTCCCCGCAGCCCCAGCGCCGACCATGGTGGTGACCTCTCCGCCTCTCGCAGTCAGCCCCCCAGCACCGCCTGCCGCGCCCGCCCCGCCCTCCGAGGACGTCGACGTGGTCATGGAGCTGTCCTCTGACGACGACGAGCTGCCCGAGCTGAACGTCCCGGCCGTGGCGCTGCCCGGCGGCACCGCGGCGGCCGGCCCGGCCCACAAGCTGGGCACGGGGGGCCACCCCGCGCTGCAGGACGACTTCGGGGTGACGCCAGCCAAGCGCAGCAAGTTCCAGCCGCTGCACGGCGTCTTCAAGATACTACGCCGCCACTAGTCCATGCTTCATTTTACACCAATTAAACCTTCAGGTAATCAGATGAAACGACTCGACTTTCTCCACGAACACCCGGTGCCAGTACAGGGCCAGCACCTCGAACGGCACGGTCACGCCTTTGTTCTCCTTCTGTAACAAACAGAGGGTCTAGTAGTGTAGCAGAGTCCCGCGCGCCGGCTGGATAGGCAACCCATCGAGCAGCGGGCGAGGGGACCGGCGAGAGGGTTGGGAGGGACGTTACCGCGGACACCTCGAAGTACTCGAGCTGCAGCGAGGAGGCCAGCTCCCTGCCCTCGCTGGTGCCGATGACGCGCCGCGACTCCAGGTCCGCCTTGTTGGCCACCAGCACGCCCTTGGTGGCGTCCGCGCGCACCGCCGCCTGGCCGCGCACCATGGACACCCAGGTGGGCACGGACCGCACGGAGGACGGCGACGTCACGTCCAGGACCACGATGAACATGTTGGCCCCGTTCCACTGCGCACCGCGGCCGCGAGAAAAGTTACGTCTCATAGCATTTTCACGACGTGCTCGTTTTAAAGGCCGCCGCCGCCTTACGTATTTGCTGAGCAGCGGTTCGTAGAACGGCAGCCCAGCCGAGTCGTAGATGAGCAGCTCCACGGCGTCGTTGGTGTCCGGAATCGGAACCATTTTGGTGGACAGCTCGACGCCGAAAGTCTGAGAAATGCGCGCCCGGTAGGGTGTCAGTAAATTCGTTTGCGTGTGTATCTCCAATAGTACGGAGGGCTGTGTTTACGCAAGTTTGTACGGGTCGATTGCCGTCCCGAGCCTCACCATCTCATAGTTTTTCGGATAGTCCCTGCCGTCCGTGAGAAACGATTTGGTGAGGGCGGTTTTCCCCACCGCGCAGTCGCCTGGAAAAGACGCCGAGCAGATGAACGAGACATGCCAACTGCAGAAGGTATGTGCGGAAAAGCTGGAGAGGTTTCATGGAAATATTTCAAACGTATGATTTACCGACTACCGCCAGTTTGGCGCGTATTATGCTGCGAGGCATTTTGGTCGAGGCACCGCACTGCGAGGCGACGTGCACTGTACTGATCCGCGGGGTGGCTACGGCTAGCGGCGCTAGCAGCTGACTGGCGGCGTGGCGGTGTGTGTGTGTGGTGTGGTGGCGCCCGTTGCCAGGGAAACCGACTAGACAACCGGGCGCCGGTGGGGTCGGCGTCGGTGCTGCCAACCTGCCACAACCTGCCAACTGGTTTCGCCCTCTCCCTTACCTAAACTAGCAGTAACGCGACACGTAAAGTGACACGAATTACTTTTATACGTCATTGCAAGCTTGCGCATGTGTCTCTTGAGGCCGACTGGAGTGGAGCCCTCCGTGGGGTGGGGTCACGTGGGGTCATCATGGATCACTGCAGCCAACCGGCCACCGATGTGTGTGTGACGGATTATGGATGACTTTGGAAATGAATGAAAACCTCAGTTTTAATACTTTTGCCATCACCAATATTTATTGCATTGTCTTAGAGAAAGCATGTAAATCATATTTACAGAACCTTTGTAAAAAAATATTTTAAGATAATTATCTGACAACACATTTGCACAGGGCACTTAAGATTATCGCTTAAACTCAAAGGACTCTTGACACACATAATGGTAATGGGACACACTAATCTATCAATCTAGTTCTCTTGATTAGAATTAAGTATTCAAGCGCAACGCACGCGTCTTGCTGCGTAAATGGCGAGCCGAACCTTAATTATTATCGAGAAATCGAACATGAGCCAGGCCAGACAGGCCAAGGGCTGCCACAGGCTCGGTCTGGCGGTAAGGTAACAAAGAGACGCGGCCTCATTAACTCTAGGACTAATTAAAGGGTTACACTTCACTCTCGAGGTGTAAACGGTCTCACTCCGACGAAGAGGCGTTGCCACGCACAACTCTGGTCCATCGTCGGGTAGAAAAAGAAAACACTCTCTTTCTAAGCGATGACACGAAAGAGGTCCGTATTTACAAATAAATAAAATCTGCTCTCACGACACTCCGCGCACAGCGCGCAGAGTGGCCCTGGCCCTCGCTGGCGCGCTCCATGGCTGCCGTGCCACGAGTTGAAATAAGTCCAAGGCCAAAGAGGTTACGGGTCTTTGCGTCGGACAAATCTCAGGGTTAACCCCGGAACACGGCGCCCGAAGCCCGAAGGCGCGCACCACACTCTCCCCGGCGAATTTACACGGAATTTACAGTTATGTACACGTATAAACGGTTTCTCAACACAATTAAAAATAGAACCTGCCTAACGCTCACTTGCACTCAATGCACAACACATTATGTACAAAAATAGCCTACTCTCACTTAAAACAAACACGTTATAAACAATTGAGTCATTCACAAACAAAATTAGAAAAAAAGCTTCCTATAAAGACTTATGTTATGTAAAGGTATGCTGGATTACACTGTAATCTCTTTCACAACATGACACGCACGCGTGTTAGGGGACTTAAATAAGAGACGAAAAAAAAAATAACACAAACAAAACACACACGACCGCCTGGCAGCGCACGCGGCGACACAGTGTAAAACGAAATCAGTACGGTAATCTTGTGTCTTATAAGCCTTATGCCTACGTCCTCGCCTGCACACGGCACACGGCCCGCACGGCCCTCTCGCATCACAGACAGCCCTCCCGGTCCTGACTCCTACCAATTGTCCGTCCGCCCGCCCGGCCCGCCTGGCCCGCCGCGTCGACGGCGTCCGCGCCAAGTCCGCGGCGTCCGCAGTCGCGGTGACCAGAAGCGTGTAGTGGGTGGTGGCGCCGGGCGTGTCGCGGCGCGGTGCGGACCGGGGAGGGGGGAGTAAATACTAAACAGAATGGACCGCGCGCGGCGGCTCAGTCCCACTCCCCGATGTACATGGTGCGCGGCTGGGGCGGGATGTACGCCCTGGTGGGGATGCGCAGCCGGCCGTAGATGTGGTTGTAGGGCGAGTCCAGGGCCTCGGAGTCTGGGGCGGGCAGGAACGAAATTGCAGTCAACAGAGCAAACTTAAGGCCAAAGCAAGTGTGTTTTCAACGGCACTGCGACTCACCCATGCCGCTGTCGTAGGAGCGCGCGTGCCACATGTGGGGCTGGTGAGGGGGCGGGGGGAGGAAGTGGGGGTTGCCGGGGAGGGGCAGGCGGCCGTAGGGGTTGTGGAGGGAGTGGAGGAGCTCCGCCTGCCGCTGCTGCTGCTGCTGCGCCTGCTGGTCCCGGGCGTCGCGCTGCTGCTCCTTGCCGGACTTGGACTTGACGAAGTTGGGCACCCTGGCGCGCAGGCCGCAGTAGTACGGGTCGTCTGCAAAGAACGGAGGGCGTGTAGTGTTGGAGGCCAACGCGGACAGCGCGGCCGGCAGGACGGCTCCCTTACTCGCGGGGGTCGCGGCACGCTTACCGAACTTCTTGGCGTCCTTCTTGTTCTGGCCGCGCGACGACGCGAAGGGCTTGAGGCGGTTCTCGTCCTCGATGTCGTCGTAGTCAGGCTGTCGGGCAGAGAGGGGCACGGTTAGTGGCGGCGCTCCGGACCCGGCTTGGCGGCCGGTGTGGCCTCGGCGGCCGGGCTGCAAGGGAAGCAACGTTAGATCGGCAGAGGGGCAAAAAGGCACACAAGTCGTCAGCGCTCTCGGGAAGGAGAGGGTCTGGGGTTCGACTACCGACGGCTGCGCACAGAGTGGATTGCGTGCTTTTTTGCAGCCTTCCACAAACACCAACACACAAACACACAACGGAAAGGAAAGAATGGAGGAGGCATAACCTTGCTGACGAAAATGTGGGGGAGGGACCATCGGGGACTTTGGGTCACCTTGGGTATGTCGTGTGGGTACGGGGTGTTGTCCCTGGGCGGCAGCTTGGGCGGCTTGTCGCTGCGACGGCCCAGCTTGTGCTGCCCCAGGCCCTGCGGCGCCGGCTGCTGCTGCAGCTGGGCGCTCTCCCTCGCTCCCGACGAGGAGCCGGAGGAGCCGCCGCTGCCCGCCACGCTGTAGGGGTCCTCGTCCGGGATGGGGATGCGCGGCCGGTTGCGGATGTCCACCACGCGTTTCACTGCGAGAACAAGAGAGGCGCGTCAGGTCGTGGGCTCGAATCCCCGTCATCAACGAATTTGCCCCAGCGTCACTGAAACCCGGGACCGACCTGGAGGCAGCTTGGATTTGAGCATGTCCATGGCGACCACGTTGATGACCAGGATCCAGATGGGGCAGTCCAGCAGGTCCGGCTCGGCGCGCACGAAGGCCACCGCGGACAGGCACTGGCACTCCAGGCGGCGTCTGTCGGGGTAGGCGCGCCGCAGCTCCCGCGACACGTTCTGCTGGAACTTCTTCATGTCGAAGAGCTGCAACAAACGGGAGGGGAACGTGAGGTGACCGGGAACGGAGCGCCCGCCGAGTCGAGGATGGGCCACCCGCTTGGCAGGGGCGCGCGGCGAGCAACGGGTTGCCTATCCTGTGTCCGGCGGGCGCGCGGGCCGCCTGCCAAGCGGCGGGTAGGCCGCCCACCGCACACGCGCGCGCGCCGGCCGAGGGTTTGCCTGCCAGCAGGCGTTTCGCCGGCGGGGCGGTTCAGCAGTACCTTGACGGGCTTCTCCAGCTCCAGAGCGCAGTTGGGCAGCTTGAGCACGTCGTTGCCGATGGCCGTCTCGTCGCCCTGCGCGGTGCTCTTGACGTACACGTTGCACTTGGAGACGCGCTTCACCAGGATGTTGCCCTGGTCGTCCATCTTCACCTTGATGCCCTGTCAACATCAACGCAGTGTGAGTTTTAAGAAAGCTGCAACGACGTAAGCCTGCTAGAAGGTCGTTCGCTTACGTGGCCGATGTGTCGCTTGAGCTCGTCCGTCTTCTGGTCTCGCATCGGGTTATCGAAGCCGCATAAGCCAATCCTGGGGGAAGAGGTAAAGGGCGTGAGCTTGACAAAGTGGTACGACACTGAGGCGACAGCGGGAGCGCCTCTCCACGCCCCGCCCCGCCCCGCCCCGCCCCGCCCCGCCGCTCCAGTCGGCTGGCGGCCGTGACACCTGCGAGCTGCAGGTGCGGTGCATGGCGGCGCGCGGAGGGTCGCGGCGGCGCGCGGCGGGCCTAGGGTGGCGTGAATGTCACCGCGACGCACCGCGCGGCCCCCCACGGCGAGCCGCCATTACCACACTGTCACACCAGGAGTGTGAATATTTTCACTGGGTGCGGGTTCAACTCCCGCCGCCCCCGACCTGTATCATTTGTTTCGTCCATTCTTACCGAAAGCCGTCGAAGCCGTCGTCCGAGCCGTTGACGGTGAGCACAGGGGCGCGGGCGTACGCCTTGGCAACGCGCCTGTTCCTCTCCAAGACGATCACCTTCGCCCAGATCTCGTCGTCGATCTGCGTCCATTTGTCCAGCACCTCCTGGATGTGGTCCTGCAGTGAACAAACAGTGGGTTAGATGGGTCCGAGAGGCCGAGCCTCGGTTCGCAGCACTCGCGGCTTCGAACGCGGGCGGGGCCAATTAAGAAATTAAGCGGCGCGTGGTTCTGGCGGCATCCAAGGCATTCGAGGCAGGAGGTTCCCTTCGCGGCGAGGTCGCCGCTACGCGCGCTACGCCGGCTAGCAGTGCCTACCGGTGCATGGCTGCGCGTGGCCGGCTGCCACAGAATCTCATATCCGGGCGGGCTGCCTCTGCTGCCCTACTCGGTCACGGGCATGACGGCCTGGCGGCGGCCTGGCGGACTCCCATTGGGCGACACCACGCGCATCGCCGCGCAGGGCAGAGGTCGCCGAGGTCGCCGAGGGAAGGAAGCCGCGGAGGGCGTAGCGGAAAGGGCCGCCAGAAGACTTTCAGGCGCCAAATTCATCAACGGCCAGGTTACTTCCGCGAAACGCGAAGCCACTCTGGCATCGCCCGTTTCCTTCGACGTCGGCCTGGGGCTGTGTCTGGGCCGTGCCTCGGTCGTGCCTGGGCAGTGCGGGCGTCAAAACGACGAAGGCCTTCGCTTTGCCCGTGCGTGGCCCGAGCGCCGTAGCCGCAGCCACACCTCCGCAACCCAAATCAAAGCAATTGTCCGCCTGACGCCCGCCCTGCCGGCGCGCTGTCCGTCTGCCAGTGTGGCGCACGGCCTCCAAGGCGAGGACCGGGACCAGTGCTTTCGTCTCTCCGTCTCTCTCGCACCGCTGCGCCAGGCTGCGCGACGCGCCGCGAGTGCGAGGGACACGACGACGAAAGCGCTGCGCGGAATGGGTGGCCAGGGCGGCAGGACCGCCGAGCGGAACAGTCTGCGTCGCAGTCTGCGGGCGTGGGGCGCACGACGCCGTGCCACCGCCACGCCACTGGCAAGGCCCGGCAAGGCCTCGGCGTGTTCGGGGAGCCCTCGGGCGCCGCGCCGTGCCCCGCCAAAATAGATCTCGGGTGCGGCTACACTCCAGACCGCGACCAGGAACGGGAAACCATCGCCGTTGTTTAGCTTTAGAGCGAGGAAAGAGGAAAGTGGTGCGGCCGCGCGGCCGCGGGGAGGACGATCTTGAGCACGACCAGCGCGGCGGTCTGGCGGCACGCGGCCGCGGAAGAGCCTCGCGCGTCCATGACGCTCGTTTGACGGGGAGCCACTGAAAACTCGTTCGCGCACGCCGCGCTTCCTCACGACGCCGCCACCGCCGGGGCTCGAACCCCGTTCCAGGCGGTGGAAACTTTGCCAGTGGCGATGCAGGGCTCAGCGCCGCCAGGCCGCGCCAGGCCAGGACGGCGCCGATTGTCCTGCTGCTGGCAGGGACGGCGGTGGACGGCGGCCGGCGCTGCCAGAGAACAATAGTCTGCCGTCCGGTCAGCAAGGAGGGGAAAGGGGGGGGGGGAGTCCGCGCGTCGGCATGTTGGACCAGAAGGTCAGGGCGCGAAAAGGGAAAGGAAACCGGGAGTGGGAGGGCGGGGCGGGGCCGCACCCTTCAACGCGTTGCCGCGGCACGTCGAAATAACGCGGAATGGTGGATTTATAACGGCAGCCACGCCCGCGTCGCACCGCGTCGCACCGCCAGCAGCTACTGCTTGTCGAGGGCGGGGCGGGGCGAAGGCGTGGGGCCGCTGGACGCACACGCGCGCGGCGGGGCGGGGCGGGGCGGTCCAAGGACGCCGCAGATGGCGATCGATGGGGTCACGAGGGGCAACGAGCTTCATTCATATTGCCACTCTGCTGACGGGGATAGAGTCGCGAGCGAGATAAGGCAAAGGCATGCGCTACTGGCTGGTTCCAGCTCCAGCGGCTCCAGCGGCGCGACACGCGAACGGCCTGGACCGCAGACGTGCGGGGGCAGGGGGCTTGGAGAGCCTTGATCGCGCGGGGCCTCTGCGTCCCGGTCTCCACCTAAGCAAACAACTGAATCCGGGAGAGGCTGGGCCGGACACGGCCGTGATAAAGCAATGCGCAGCAATGCCCGCGTAATCAAGGGTGCTGAACGCCACATCGACGGGCCGGGCGCGCTGCAGGCGTTGCAGGCTCGGCCGGCACGGCGGTACACCGTAACGCGACGCAGGCTTGGACGCAGGCCGGCTGGAGGGTCCGGGATTTACGGCCGGCGAATGGCTTATCGCGGCCCGCGCCGCCACTTCCCCGTCTAGGCCAGACTCCCCAGACTGGCGGTGCGGCGCGGCTCATATTGCCCGCGCACCGCGCTCCAGATTTTAATCCCCAGCCCAGATCAGGGCGTGCGCGGCGCAGCGCGGCGCAGCGGCCGTAACAAGCGAAAAAAGTCATTGCGGCGACCCGGAACCGCCATCACGGCCCTGCCCGGCCCTGCCGTTCATAGAGACCCTCGACGGCGACCCCTGCGTCCTGCCCATGGTCCTGCCCAGGCCGTTTCGATTTCGTTACGCAACTCGGCCGCACAGATGGCGGCAGTGATCGGCCCGGCAGCGCCACTGCACTGCAAGCACTGCAAGCACACTGGCAGCACGCGCGCTGTCACCGCCACTTTGCACGCTAACTAGACTGCCCGCTTTATTGGCAGCATTGTCGCGCTATTCGCAGAGCGGAGCCAGCATAGGCACCAGCAGGACAGCAAACCGCCCCTTTCGCCGCTTATTGGCAGATCGGGTCGACGGTGAGGTCACCGCAGGCCAGCAGGGAGTCGCGCGAGTCGCGGTCGCCAAGGACGCGCCTGTCTCCGGGACGGCGACCGTCATGGCGACCGCCACCGGCGCCACCGCCTCCAGGCTGCGCCCCGGGCGAGCGCGGGCCGAGCTCGGCGACGAACACCCTCCGCGACGGCACCACGGCGATCAACACCCTCCACGTCGACACCGCGGCGACGAACACGCGTCCTGGACGTGGAGCCGAGCCGGGCCGCTTCGCAGCAGGCTTACGTCACCACTGGCAGACGTGCACCCCGACCACGCGTCCTTCTTTTTTTCCCGCGCCAGCGTGGAGCGCGGAGCGTCGACAAGACGAATAAAATGCCACGAATGATAAGGTCAATCGTCTGGACGTCGCCAGCCGAGCCAGCCGCCATCGGCCGTTTGCATAATCGTCGCGGGACGTCGCTGCCGCGCCCCGCTGCCCTGCCCTACCGCCAACCGGAGCACCGGAGCAGATTCGCTGTCCCTCTCGCACTTCGCGGCGCGTCCCCACAGGAGCGTCAATGCCGGGCTCAGCCGGGCAGAGCGACATCCTGTTGCCCGTCCTGCCTGTAGTAATTGATCCCAGTGGACGGTGGGGCGGCGGGCGGCCCGCCCGAGCTGGCGGCCTCCAATTTCGGCCGCACACCAAAAAGGTCCCGGGGCCGATAGGCCTGGCCTGGCCTGGTCGGGTCGGGCCGGGCAGCCTCGCGGAACGGAAGTTCCAGCCGTTCCAGCTCCAGCGTGGCCAGCTGGCCGGCCGAACACATCCCCCGGCCGTGCCGCCGTGCCGCACCGCGGCCTGCCAGCTCGCCTTGCCGCCAGCCCGCCGCCTCGCCTTGTCCTTCGGCCTATCATAGCGAGTGATCGTCGTCGTCGTCGGGCCGCTCTAGTCGACTGCTCCCGGAGCACGGCCAGCACCGCCAGCAGCGACAGCGCAACGCCCCGTCCGCCACCGCGGAGTCATTAAGACCGCTCAGCATTCCAGCGCGCCGTGCATTGCCGTGCATTGCCGTGCATTGCCGAAATGGCCGCTTCACCAGTGGCGTAACCGTCGACGCCAAGAGCGCTAGGCCTGAACTATTTTTTCAGTTTTCGGAAACTTCCGCGCCACGATTGGCTGCACGTCGGCGACCCCGTTCGCCGCGACGACGCGGTGTCCGAGTCCGTGTCCGGGGCGCTCCTCTTTCCGCACGGCCCACGCACCACGCCGCCGCGCCGCCATGGCGCCGTCACTGCCCGCAGCTCCAGAACTCCAGCAGCTCCAGTAGCGGCGCCGCGACCTTGAGCCTCTCTCTTTCCTCTCTTTGGCGACAAAGACACGCCATTTACGGGCGGCCCCTTAGCAGTGCGCCGCCAGCGCCGCCACTGCCGCCGCCTCGACAGAAATTGAAACCGTTGTTCCAGTTACGGCGCGCATAGCGGCGTAGCGACATGGGCGCGGCGCGGCAGCATAGCCGTCACGCAGCCCGGCGTGCCGCGGCGCGGCGTGGGTGTCGGCGAGACCCTGGCACTCCTCGGCTGGCGGAGAGAATTCGCAGCTGCTTCCAGTGGAGCGGTGACACTGCAGCCTAGTGCAGCGCGCGGGTGGACGAACCCGCAACGGATTCTCAACAGAGAGCGGATTTATTTGATTCTCCGTTGTCGTCTGTCACCAGGGCGCAGTAAGGCACCGCGAAGGAACGGCCACGCCGACGGAGGGCTTGGAAGTCCTGGAGGGGGCGAGACCGCGCGCCGCCGCCGCTCGCCGTGCTTCGGGGTAGACTTCTCGGCGGCGTCGGTCACGACGGCCAGTCGCGCTGCGTTCCCACCGCGCCCATCGCCCTCCTGGTTTCGGTCTTCCCTCGCCCAGGCCGCGCCACGCCGCGCCACGCCGAGGTTACAACGGACACGCTGTGTCACACACGGGGCCCGTCCTTAAGTCACGCGGCCTTGGGGGAGGCGGGGTCGACGGGAAGGTTAGGAGAGGCGCGAAGGCCGGTCGACGGGCACCTCGCCACCAACAAGGTGGCCGTGCTCGCCATCCGGAAGAACAGCGCATGCCGCGCGGCGTGTGGTCTGGTTTCTCGACTTCTCGACATAATGGCGGAGCCGAGATGAAAACCCGAGAAAGGGAGCCTGTCGGCGGAGTCATTCCAAACAGTGCGCCGTCTCTCTCGCACCCTCACGCGGCGCGCCGTGAGCGCGAGAGAGACGGCGCTGCGCTGTTCGGAACGGGCGCGTAATAATGGGTGTGTATTGAACGGGGAATCCAGGCGGGCCGCGCTGCCGCGACTGCGACCTAGTGCGGCGCGGGCGGGAGGCGGGCAAGGCCGTCTCG